GCTTTCTGCAGAACTGGATGCCGCTGGAGTATATTGAGTGCTAGGCGAAGGCAATGAATTATTTCCTGGGCGGCCAACACTTGCTGACTGGATCGGATGCGATATGCCGCTGCTGCTCGGTGCTGCAAACGTGGTCAAGCCCGGCGCCCCTGAAGACGTCTGAGGAGCCCTTTGGATGGATACAGTGGTGGTTTTGGTTGTGCTAGTCCTCGTCATGACCGGTCTTGTTTTGTTTCCAAAGAAGGTTGGGCTGGACAAGTTCCGCAGCGATGCGGTTGTGGAGATTCCAACACCCGACAGGGTTCGAGGACAGGATGTCCATTGCTCATGGCGGCTTTCCCCGATTGCAGGAGGACAGATAATCATACTCGGCGTGGGCCCCGTACTCATGTTGACCGCCGAAGGCGTAGCGATGTTGTATGAGTCATGAGGAGGCTCCGAGATCGTGCTGGCGCTGGTAGTTCTAGGTCCGAGACCAGGTCCAAGATCTTGCCAGCCGACTTCGCCATAGATGATCATGCCATAACATGTACCGATCATGAGAAGAACGATCCATGGCGCATGCAGAGCGAGAACGGCCATGGCTGCTACCGCGCCGAGGGCAAAGGAGACAGGGGTGGTGCCCAGGTCAGATAAACCCCATCAGTTCGCGCGCCTTTATAGAGAGGAGACCCCATTGCCCCGTAAAAGTCACGGGGCCCGGCCGCGGGACATAACGCAGGTCATCGGGGTTCCAGAGAATGAAGTCCAGGCAATCAGGAGGCCCGCCGGACCGGACGGGCGCCGCAGGCACTCCCGCGGCCGGCAGCGGCTGCCTTTCGTGGGTTCTCCCATCACTTTATAAGCCTGCTGGGATCACTCCACACGGGAGCGGTTCGCCAGCGCTTCACCCTCGTTGCTGTACTGCGGGACACAGGCTGCTGCGTGTGACTGTCCAGGAGTCCAAACATGGACCTTGACGCCGTGAACCAGACCTTCGACCATCTTGCCGGCAAAGCCCAACAGGAAGAGGGACTCTCCGCTCAGTCATTTCTGATCTCTCTAGGCGTCTACGGCGGCCTGCTCATCCCATGCGTCGGCCTGTTCACCTGGCTGAAGAATGTGAGCCACGCGGTCTTGTACGTATGATGGGACCACCAATGCTGTTCGGCAGTCCCACGCTGACCGTGATCGCCAAAGCCAGCCGGGCTGCATAGAGGACCAGGAGATCCGGCCGCTGCCGCCGGGTATCGATTGGCTCAAGGGGCTGAAAGACATGGTCAGCGACGACGAGACTCTGCAGCGGAAGCACGGGCTGGACAGCTATTTCGTGATGCGGTTCTTACACGTGGCCCTGAAATTGCTGATCTTGCCGTCGATGACCGTCCTGCCCGCGCTGCTGCCGGTGTATTATACGGCCCGCAACGACAGCGTAGCAGGCCTGGACAAACTCAGTATCTCGAATGTGCCCGAGGACCAGGGTGCGCGGTGCTGGATCATCGCGATCGTCGCCCTGCTTGCCAATCTGTACTTCGGCCACGTCTTGTCAGACGAATTCGACGTGATCGCCCGCACCCGGCAGAGGTATCTCCAGCGGGTCTCGCAGTCGGGGGTCAGCGCAACCATCCTCGTGACCGAGATTCCTGCCGAGATCTGGAACCGGGAAACCTTGACGCAGATATTCGCGCAACTGGGCGGGGGCGCGGTGGAGGTGATGCTCCTCCGCGAGAGGGAATGTACGACCAAGGAGGCAGAATACAATCAGCTGCTCCACACGGCAGGGAGCCGACCGTCTGGGAAGCTGCGACTCCGCTCCAGAGTGATGCGACCACAAGAATGGGTCGATGAGATGTTGGGTCGCGGTCATCTGCGACGGCGCCTTCACGGTCTGGCAGCGGACATCCAGAGTATCCGAAGTGTTGCGATTCTGCGGTTCGCATCGCTGTTCGCGGCCCACCTCAGTCTGCAGACTCCGCTGTCGTCGCAGCCATCGACCATGGCAACCCATCTGATCGACGAATCTTCGATCCATAATGCCAAGATATACCGGGGCCGGGCCGCCAGAGCCCTGCGGAACTGTACCGCCACGGTGGCGCTCGTATGCCTGTCTCTGCTATGGGTCGTGCCCATCGCCATGACCGGCCTGCTGTCCCAGCTGGTCTACCTCAGCTCCTTGAGCGCTCTTCTGGCTCGATTGTCGAACACCCAACTGAGCTTCATCCAAGCTCTTTTGCCGCAGGCCGGTCTTGCCGTGTTGATGTACGGATTTCCTCTGATGCTTGTGGGGTTGGCGCGGCTGTTTCATTGCTACAGCGATGCGGCGCGACAGGTTCTTGTGCAGCGACATTATTTCTTCTTCCTCTACGTCCAGGTCTTCCTCGTAGTCTCGGTTTCCTCCAGCTTGACGACGATGATTCCAGACATATTCCGAAGCATCCAATCGGTGCCCACGATGCTGGGCAAGAACCTCCCGAAAGCTTGCGACTACTTTTATTCGTACTTGCTCATGCAGGCGGTCACCCAGTGCGTCTTGGCATTTTTCCAGCTCCCACAAAGTCTCTGGACGTGGCTTACCGCCCGCGTGCGGAGATCCAGTCGTAAGGCCGTCACGTGGAGCCTGATCTATCCCGTGCTGACAAATCTGCTGTGCATCTGTAAGAGCGTCGCGCACTCGTCCCCTGGATAGCGTCCACTGACTGTTCGCAGGCCTGATCTTCTCCGTGACGTCACCCCTCATTCTTCCGGTTGGGACGCTCGTCTTTGGATTGTTTGGGATTGCGTACGCCTATCAGATCATTTACGTGCTGGAGAGTACGGTGGAGACAGCAGGCATGCTTTACTGGGAGGCGCTACAACAACTCTTTGTCGGCATCTACACCTTAGACCTTTTTCTGGTTGGGCTCTTCATACTGCGCAACGCGTATGGGCCGGCCGTGCTGGCGGCCGTTGTACTCGCGCTAGTGGCCGCCCTACAGTACCATTCGCACCAACGCTGCCGTCCTCTGGTTCAGTTTCTCTCCGCCAGCGTATCCTGCGCCACTCCTTCAAGTTGAACATGGATGCATGGTTCCCCGCCTGTAATTCTCCTCATTGTGTTTCCTTGGCGTTGAGGCTAGAGGTTAGACTCACATCCACCGAGATGACATTTGTAGCACCAATCATCTCATGGTGCAACAAGAGGAGTTGACAGATCCTTCCGTTCAACGGTCCTACGTAGTCCGAGTTTGAGACTGGCAGCCATTTTCCATCTTCTGAGCCACTGACCGGTTCTTGCGCGTAGCACGTGCCACTGTATCTTTGTGTTGGTCGCGATGGCCATTGCGTACGCTGCCTCGCAATATCATTGGCTAGATATAACTGTATGCTCTTTCTGAGGGTTTGCTTCCAATTGTAATTCGGCGGCCGTTCAACATACTACTGCTGATCGGGCGTCTCCAATGTTTGGCGGGGTCTGAGAGCCAAGGGGACTGTTATCAATTCATGCGTGATTGACTGGGGAGGCACGCAAGATCAGACAACCATATTAGAGGGGCAGCAGGGAATGGAGGGCGTAGATGCAGTGCTTTGGATGCCCATATGTATCGTGCAGGCATTCATGCATCTCGGGGTCTGACCGACATCAGAGCTCACACTATCTTCAATCACTCTATCCATCAATAGAGCTGGAGGGCGACCACTACTGTGCCGGATACAGTGCCGGAGGTGTAAACTGAGGACGGATACGCTGGCCATCGTCCTGGAGGGTAGTCAAATCTCCTGATGTCTGCTACTTCCAACTCCACAATCCTGATCCTCGCACGACCGAGATATCATGGCTTTGGAAGCCGCGTTCCGTCACCGTAGTCTCGTCCAGTTGGGCGACGGTAGATGCTCCGTAGAAAGCAAACAATGGGCGTGTTGTATGGGGACAAGCGACCCTTGGCGAAAGCAGCAGATACCATTAGAGCGGCTTCTACAACGCCCTGACCTGCCCCGTACACAGTAATGCACCTAATGCGTCGATGCTCGTAACAAAACAACGCAGCCAGGAGAGGTAGCAGGCTGGGACAGTAAGCAGTATTGTCCTGAAGAGCCCGTGCGCCGAACATAGACCCACTCGGGAAGCAATCCACGGCCCGGTGATATTGACAGGTACCTTTTTGACAGGGCATTGCTGGAGAGAGGCATGTCTGTTGAACGACTACACTGGCGCACCCTTCCATCATCACGCACATCTAACTGCGGTTCGGGGCCACTACCTGAGTATCATACTATGAACGAGAGACATGGTGTTACGGGCTGGAGAGCCTACAATGTCTGTCACCAAGGCTCTTAAATACGGCGAGCACGCGGCTGCGTACCGACATCCCGAGTAGGCTTCAACTCAAACGCCAGTCACGGTCGCGAGTAACCCCGCGACATGTCTTCCAACCGGTATCCCACCAGGTCGTCCCGGAGACTCCAATGCCAAACGGCTCTCACGGACCACATATGTAGGTGAAACAGCCCCTTACACATCCTGTGGGGGTCTATTGGAGATACTGGAGAGGCATAGCTGAGTGATGACATTTCGCCAGACCAGCGTCTCGGCAAGAGAATCGATCCGAAGCATGTCCGGCTGCAACCCCGCCCCGAGGATCCGTACCGATGGGTTGTGCCCGAGACACTACGTGCCACATTCAAGAAGAACCTCAGCCGCTGCGCTATCGAGCTATTACCGGCAATCGAAGAAGCCCTGAAGAATGGCAGTGTTCAGGCTGTGGAGCCGCACACGTTGCCAAGCCACGAGAGCGCCGTTGGCATATCTGCTCCGAAGCCTCGAGAATCCGACGTTTATGTCTTGATCGACAATGGGGCGAATGGCGGGGCTGTCCGTGATGAGAGCTCCACGGCTACCATTCGCAAGCTTGAGCAAGAAAACGAGGCGCTACGCTCCGAACGGCAGAGAATCAACGAATCTCACGCACGGGAATTGCTTGAGGAACGAGGACACCGGGATGCAGAACGACGTGCGCTGGAGGAAGAGAACAAGCGATTGAAACTGTCTTGTGCCTCGCTGCAAGCCGGCATCTGCCATGCACTGGATCAGGTGGGCCAGATTCAAGGACTTCTTTCCAAGTCCGCGGGTATCCTTTAGGGCGGTGTTTGCACGCGCTTGTCTTTCCTGAGACCTCAGTAGATCTGTTCAATCTGCTCTAGTCATTGATATGCACCCACTGTGATTTATATTCAGCACATACGTAGATGCAAAGAAACGGCAGCATATCTCTATGACTGGCCGATAACCTCCGAGTACAATAGACTTCTCATCAGCGTTACGCTCGGGTTAGTTTCCCGTTAGGCTCTACAAGGGATGAA